TTAGAGACAGGGTCTCACTGAGTTGCTTAGTGCCTCCCCTTTGCTGAGGCTGGCTTTGGACTCAGATCTTCCTGTCTCAGCCTCCAGAATCTCTGGGATTACAGGTATGTGCCATCACGCCTGGCAGGATTTGGTTATTTTGAATTTGTGCACACTCACACAAATTCCAGGTTTACATGGCTTCATCAATTAAATTCCTCCAAATATTTAAATAAGAAATAATACTTAACAATCTTTTCCAGGAATTAAAAAGAGAAGACAAGCTTTTTCTTTCATTTTATGAAGCTAACTTAACCTTGATCCACAACTTGACATGGTTCTGGCAAGAAAGTAAAATTACAGACAAATCTCTCATGAACATATGTAAAAACTTGAAAAAAAATTAACAAATGAAGTCCAGTGATATACGAAAGATAATCTACCTGTACCGGGAGCCTCTGAGGCCACAGGGAGGTTCATGCACTGCTAGGAGGACTCACAGGACTTGGCATGCAGTTGTACTCATGCTGTGACTTACTATAGGGGAAGAAGAAAGCAGAATCAGCAGAGGAGAAACATGTGCAGGCTGCAGTCCAAGGAGAGCAAGAATGTATTTCCAAGGTCCTCTCCCAGCGGAATCACAGTCCTGCTCAATCCTTCAGCAAAGAGTTCCCACAACGCACATGAAATGTTGTCTACAGGGAAACTCACAGATTTAGTGTCTAAGGTTTTTATCAGGAGCTGATTACCCAGGCACATTCTGCCTACCATGTACCAAAATTCCAGACTCCCTGAAAGAAAACAGATTTTCATTATAAGCCACATTCTTTGAACAGTTTAGGCACAGGAGGTCACTTTGGATTCTTGGGAACGCTTCCAAGTTCCCAAATGCCAGCCAAGAGCCAACTTTGCCAACAGGCCTTTCTAGGATAGTATTGTCACAACTATTTTTTTTTTTGTACTGAGAATTGAACTCAGGGCCTCACGAATACTAGGCCAATGCTTTCCACTGAGCTACACTCTAGCTCTTTTTTAAAAATTTGAGATCGGAGGCGCCAAAAACATATATACTGGAGAAGAGATAGTCTTGTCAACAAATGGTGCTGGGCAAACTGGAAATCCACATGCAGCAAAATGAAATTAAGCCCCCATCTTTCACCAGGCACAAAACTCAAAGTGGATCAAGGATCTAGGAATTAAACCAGAGTAATAGAATAAAAAGTAGGATCAAATCTTCATCACATCGGATTAGGTCTCAACTTCCTTAATAAGACTCCTATGGTGCAAGAAATAAAATCAAGAATCAATAAATGGGATGGATTCAAACTAAAAAGCTTCTCAGCAAAAGAAACAATCAGTGAAGTGAATAGAGAGCCTACAGAATGGGAGCAAATTTTTACCACATGCACATCAGATAGAGCACTAATCTCTAGGATATATAGAGAACCCAAAAAAACTTAACACTAAAAAAAACCACAAATAACCCAATCAGTAAATGGGAGGAAATGAACAGACACTTGTCAGAAGATGACATACTATCAATCAACAAACATGAAAAAACGTTCAACATCTCTAGCAATTAGAGAAATGTAAATCAAAACTAAGATTTCGTCTCACTCCAGTCAGAATGGCAGCTATTAAGAACACAAACAACACAGACTGGGGTTGTGGCTCAGCGGTACAGCACTCGCCTAGCATGTGTGAGGCCCTGGGTTCGATTCTAGGCACCAAATAAAAATAAATAAAATAAAGCTATCGTGTCCATCTAAAAAAAAAAAAGAAAAAAAAGAATTCAAACAACAATAAGTATTGGTGAGGATGTGGGGAAAAAAGGAACACTCATACATTGCTGGCCTGTAAATTGGTGTAAACAATATGAAAAGCAGTATGGAGATTCCTTGGAAAACTTGGAATGGAACCAGCATTTGACCCATCTATCCCACTCCTCAGTTTATACTCAAAGGATTCAAAAACAGCATACTGTAGTGATGCAGCCACATCAATGTTTATAGCAGCACAATTCACAATAGCTAAATTGTGGAAGCAACCTAGATGCCCTTCAGTAGATGAAAGGATAAAGAAACTGGTATATATGCACAATGGAATACTACTCAGTATTAAAAGAGAATAAAATCATGGCATTTGAGGTAAATGGATGGAGTTGGAGAATATTATGCTAAGTAAGCCAATCCCAAAAAACTAAAGGCTGAATGTTTTCTCTGATATGTGGATGCTGATCCATAATGGAGATGTGGGGGGAGCATGGGCGGAATGGAGGAACTTTAGATAGGGCAAAGGTAAGGGAGGGTAAGGGAAGAGGCAGGGGGTAGGAAAGATGATGAAATGAGGACATCATTACACTAAGTACATGTATGAAGACACGATAATGGTGTGACTCTATTTTGTGACCAACAGAGACATGAAAAATTGTGCTCTATATGGATACTATGAATTGAAGTGCATTCTTCTGGGCTGGAGTTGTGGCTCAGGGGTAGAGAGTTTGCCTATCATGCATGAGGCACTGTGTTCGATCCTCAGCACCACATAAAAATAAAGATATTGTGTTCATCTATAACTAAAAAATAAATATTAAAAAACAAAAAAGAAATGCATTCTTGTCATGTTTAACAAATTAGAATAAATAAATAAATTTAAAAAAAATTTGAGACAAGATCTCTCTAATTTGCCCAGGTTGGCCTCCAACTTGAGATCCTACTGCCTCAAGTTACTAAGATTAAGGTGTGCATCACTACACCTGGCCTATTTTAACTCTTTCTTGCACAATTTAATAACCAAATGGTTTGTTTTCAGAACAGTAAGATTGGTTATACTCTGGAATAATCAGTGTAATAATCCATTATATTAGCTGAGTAAAAGGAAAAAAAATCATATGGTCATCTCAATAGATACAGAGAAAGCATTTAATAAAATGTGCTATAAGCCTTTAAGCAAACTAAAAAGAGACTTTATTAATCTTCTGAGTATCTATAAAAATCTGTAGTATATATTAATGATGAAATATTAAATACTTCCCCTTGAATTTGATCTAAGAATTTGATCTCCAACATTCACACACAAAAAAAAAAGAAAGAAAGAAAGAAAGGAGAAAGTATTTCAGATAATATCCATTATTACTACTTCTACTCAACTTTATATTGGAGGTCTTAACTAGTGCAATAAGGCAAGAAAAAGAAATTGAAGGTATAAGGATTGAAAAAGAAGTAAAAATGCTGTTAATGTGTTATGTACATAAAAAGCCAGATGTATCTAGCATGATCCATCAGGAATAATCAGTTTAATAAGGCCACTGGATATTGGAACAGTCTGCCACGGGCCTGCAGAAGCCCTGTACATTCTTACTGAGGGTCCTCAAAGGCCCTAATACTGAGCACACAGATAGTTCAGTAGGTCAAGGCAACCATGTGACTACTGTTCAACTTCTCCTTCCCCAGAGGAAGGGGCTTAGTCTGATTTGCTGCTTGCTAAAAACAAAACAAAACAAACAAAAAAAATGTGTTGAGCCCTTGGCCCTGGGCTTCTCAGCTGTGGCAAAACTGATTGTGCATGCCACCATCTGGGCTCACTGAGTTATTCATAGACTTGAGGACAGATGATCCAGGCTGCCATGCTGAGGCTTCGGTTGTTTGCTGTGTTGTGAGTGATTTGGTCTCACTGTCCATTTTTGTTACTTATGGAATTGTGGCATACTCTGACATGGATCAGCAATGTTTTTCTTAAAGAGATAGATGTTATTTAAGTCACTTTTCATCATAGAATGCAAAAATAATACCTAATATGTAAATGTTGGGTATGGAAATGGCCCCCATTTAAAACTTTATTTACAAAATAAGTAACTGGCCCATCTTCCTTCCATCTGAGGCTCAGAGTAGGAATTTGTCTAATAGCTTTTGTCTAGTAAATAGTAGAGATGGGGGTGGAAGATCTGAACCCCTTTTCTCCTTATTTATCACTTTGCTAGAGGGACCTTAATAAAATGTAGTTTAAGTTGAGGCAGTAGCACATGCCTGTAATTCTCAGCTACTTGAGAGACTGAGGCAGGACAATTGCAAGTTCAAGGTCAGCCTCAGCAATTTAGTGAAAATTTAGTGAATAAAAGAAGGCTGAAGATGTAGCTCCGGGGTAGAGTATTCCCAGGTTCAATCTCCAGTAGGGCTTCCCCTGTCCTCTAGTCTGCAGTTTTGCCAATGGAAGGCCCAAGCAGAGATCAGGGTGCAGAAGTTGGGAGGCATAAAGGTAGGACATTTATCCACCAACTTCCCAGGCCTTCCCAGGCCTTCCCAGGCCTTCCCAGGCCCGGTGAGAGGCCCGCTACACACAGTACTTTCTCCAGGTTCAGGGAGTTGCTTAAGCCTATAGAGGTAACAAGACTGACCCACCCACACTTCAACTAGCCAGGTGAGTCACTCTTCTCCAATTACCCAGTTCGAGTTTGCCATCTGTTACCTGCCTGCCATGCCCTGACTGACAAAGGGCTAATCTCTTGGAAACTTCTTTTAATTTCCACCTGGGAGCACTTTGTCCTCTCAACTTCCATTGCACTTTATGGGTCTGGTGACCACGTTTTAGCTTTGCATGTTCTTATTTATTTCTGCTCCTGGAAAAGACGCTCTATTTCCGACTTATTCTGGTGACTGTAACTCCTAGTACATAAATCGGCCGCAGGAAGGACAACGTCTAACCTCCAGCCCGCATCTGTACAGCACGGTCGCGCGTACCGTTTCTCATTTTTCACACGCTGATAGAAAAGAGAATCGTGGGACCAGGGTCAATCCTCTGGTGACACTACAGCAACTTGCCTCTTATGCTCAAAGTCCTGTAACCTAGGATAAGGAGTGTCCAAAGCTGGCCCTGCCTCTGTCCCCAGGAATTGCGGACAATAGGCTTCGAGAGTTGCCACTGTTCTCGCTCAGGGTGACGCTGACACCCGACCAAAAGCCATTTGCTGGGGATTCCTCCCGCGCATGCGTAGTGGGGGTGGGGGGGTGGTAACCATAGAGTACCGCAGGTTGGCAGAGGGGCCAGAAGCCGGGCCGCTCCGTCCCCTGCTTCCGGCTGCGTCTCCCTGCTCTGGGAGCGGCTGCTGCCGCGTACGCAGTTTCCATGGGGACTGAAGATGGCGCCGCGAGGTGAGATTTCGGAGGTGTGTGAGTCTCTAGTCCCGATCCCATCGGTGTCCCGCCAGGCCCGCTACCCTCCTTCTTTTCCAGAGCTCGACCTAAACCTCCCATTCGCAAGTGTTAGGGACATCGCTCCTTCCTTTGCAAGGTGGGGTTTCGCAACCCCGCCCACCTTGAGTGCCTGAAGGTCTCCAGGTGCAGGTCTCATATACTGTACCCCTACATCCTTGCCTGGGCCTATTCTGGGCTGGCTCAGTTACGAATCTCCTGGCTTGGAACAGGCCAGTGCTGGTCTCTGCATCCTGATTTCTCCTCCCAAGTAGTGACGAGGTTACATCTTTGAAGTGCCTAGCAGCTATGATGACCTCTGAGTTACTTTTGACTTTCTCCTCGCAAGCCCAAAGAGCAGAGATTGACAGTAATTCCTGGCAAAGAAGGAGAGGAAGCTCATGAACACCACATCCTTCACCCCCACCATTTCATTATCAGCAATCGGAAGTGCCTTTAAGTAGCCCACCTCATGTGACCTCATGTTTTCTGAGGTTAGACATTGAAACATACAAGGAACAGAGCTTCAGCTGTTCCTTCCACCCATCCCACTTCTCTGTGCTTGTCTTTTCAGGTAACCGGTTGTCCTCAACACCCCTGGAAATCTTGTTCTTCCTGAATGGGTGGTATTATGCTACCTATTTCCTGCTAGAACTCTTCATATTCCTGTACAAAGGTAAGCCTGGGCTTGACTACCCCTGCCCCAGCTTCCTTTTCTCACTTCAGCTCAGAGCAAACTCCTACCAAGAACCTTCTTACTTTTTGTTCTTTTCTGCCCCCAGCATCTCCTCTTCACTACAAGGCTGAAGTCTCTTCATCAGATGGCTTCTTTGAGAATGATTCTTTAAACATTTTTTTTTCCCCTTAGTTGTTGACAGATCTTTATTTTATTTATTTATACTTGGTGCTGAGAATCGAAGCCAGTGCCTCACACATGCAAGGCAAGTAGCTACCGCTGAGCCACAGTCCCAGCCCTGGAAACTCTTTAACAAGAATTTCTGAAGTTTGGGAAACGTAGGTTTCTCCATCTGCCTCTTTACTATCACTTTTCTTTGCTGAACCCCAGTTTCAGCCCATTGGTGACCCTCAGTGGCCTCTGTATCCCTGTATATGTAATTATTTTGAAGTGGAGATCCCATAGACTTAGAAGTAAAAGCCTGCCTCCCTCTAATAGACATAGTCGCACTATGAGATAACATTTCCTGAGGCTGTAATAATGCCCATATCTCCATAAGTAGTTCATGGAAAGCTAAGACTATGTCCTCTTTGTTCTCAAGTATATGGCAGTTCTTGTGGGTGTTGTTATATGTTGTTGGTAGATTCTGGCTTTTTATTGGCAGGTCTCCTGCTGCCATATCCAACAGCCAATCTAGTATTGGATGTGGTGATGCTCCTCCTTTATCTTGGAATTGAAGTAATTCGACTGTTTTTTGGTAAGTGTTGTTCAGAGAATATTTCCATTCCTTATGAGGCAAGCTGGTATCTGTAACTTGATTAACAAGACAAAGTGCATAACCTGGGCTCACTGTTACAGATTTGATCTGGTGGTATATTCCATTACTCCCTCTCTGAAGCATAAAGCTGCCACTTTATATATGTATACATAAATATGTGTGTGTGTATTGTATATTACATGTGTATGTATGTGTGTATATATTTACACATACATATGTGTGTGTATGTATATATATATATATATATATATTTTTTTTTTTTTTCCCCCAGTGCTGAGGATGGAACCCAGGGCCTCACACATGCCATTACCACTGAGCCATATCCCCAGCTTCAAGCTGCTGCTTTATATTTTGGGTCAGGGTTTATGTATCTGTTGCTCTGCAGGGGTAAAGGCAGGCAGTAGCATGATATCTTAGATAATTCCTTTGCAGTTGCCTAACTACTGTGAGAATGCCTGTTTTCTCTTAATGATTTGCTTGGGAGAATGGATTAAATTGTAAACCGGGTCTGGTGCCGAGGTATGCCTGTACAGCACTATGATCCTCTCTACTTCTCTGGATGAGGACTTTTTTATTTTTTAATTCTTTTTGCAGTACTGAGGATTGAACCCAGGAGCATTTTACCACTGAACTACATCCCCAGTCCCATTTTTAATTTTGAGACAGAGTCTCACTAGGTTGCCCAGATTGGCCTTGAACTTGCAGCCCTCCTGCTCCAGCCTCCCAAGTTCCTGGATTACAGGCACATACCTTTGTACCTGGCTGAATAAGAATCTCTTGCAGAAGTTTTATATCCTCAGAAATAGAGAGTAAAACCCTTGTTAACTAGACTATCTCATCCCTGGAAACAGTGTGAAAGCACAAGCTGAGGGAAAAGTCCTTGAAACATACAGGAAAGGAGAAAAAAGGCTCACATTAGTCACTAAGGAAAAGATAAAATAATGTTAAAAAGGGACACTGATAGTTCAAGTGAGAATAATTACAGAGGACCAGTAAATTTGAAAAGCAGCCCAAATTACATAATAAAAAGCAAATGGAAACAATAAAGCAGCATTTTTTTTCATCCTTTGGACGGGCAACAATAAAGATTTACAATATCAAGTTTTAAAGAGGGTGTGGGGAACTTTTATACATTCTGATATATAAAAATGTATGCTTTTTATATTTTCTAAAAGTACTTTTGAATTAGTTGAAAAATTTTCAATGATTATATCATTTTTATAATTACACTTTTTTTTTCTTTTTCTGAAGACCCCATTGTACTTTCTGTGAGAGCTAGACTGGAAGCAGGACCCCTGGAGTAAATGACTCCAAACCTGTAACTCCCCCAAGCTTTTTAGGACAGTGGGATTCACTTGTAAACGTGCACCTCCCCTCAGAGTACTTCTCTGCTTGCTAGTCCCTCATATCCTTCCCACCTTTCCCTTGAGGCCAGCCAAAGTAGGCCACTTGGAGGTGACTCCATGGGCTATGTTTGACAGGTACAAAGGGAAACCTCTGCCAGCGAAAGATGCCACTTGGCATTAGTGTGGCCTTGACCTTCCCATCTGCCATGATGGCCTCCTATTACCTGCTGCTACAGACCTACGTACTCCGCCTGGAAGCCATCATGAACGGCATCTTGCTCTTCTTCTGTGGCTCAGAGCTGCTGCTTGAGGTGCTTACCCTAGCTGCTTTTTCCAGGTACTGCTGCTGAGGGCCGGGTTCCCACCCCAGGGAGGGAGTCCTTGTTCTTTGGAGGCTTGAGGGGTCTAGAGGACTATATTTAAGGGGGTTTCCATGGGACTGCCTCTCCCACTTCTGGTAGATGGAAGGTCCCTTAGGAATTCTTCCAGTTGTTTAGGGCTAAGAGACTTGGAATATGAAACCGTTCAGACCAGCTGTTCTTGTTCACTGGTCTTTTAACATTTTCTTTTTCTTTCTGCCATCAGTATGGACAGGATTTGAAGTACAAAAATTTCAGCCTGCAGCTGAGGCTGACACCACACAAATATGCTTATGGTACTGTTGCCTGCACCTGTGAGAAGCGGGGGTCACACTGGCCTGGAAAGGTTGTACGGCTTTTCCTCAGCATTGACATTTGGGTGTCCAGCCCACAGAAGGCCAGCGGGCATGATTGGCTAGACCAGGACTGTCAGCCCCAGAGACTCTTCTATACTCCATTCTAGGGAGGGGCAAGGCTATCCCCAACCTGGTCCGTCCCAGAACAATCTCTTGCTGACCTCAAGTTCTCCTCTTTGACTGTTGTGGCCAGAGCATCTTGTGTGGACCATCTAGACTCCTTGGGCTTCCAGGAGGACCCGAGCAATATATTCCCTGTATGTGCTGTGCCACACCTGACCTGTATGCACACAGAGAGCTTCATGGTGGTGGGCTCCCAGAATGATGCAAAAGCCTCCTACCCCATCTCTCAAGGACAGTGAGCTCCAGAACCTTTGTAGTAGTTTATGGTATTATTTTTCTACTCTGATCATGAAGCAAACACTATTTTATAATAAATATGTATTTTCGGTTGTGGGGTTGGCAGCCTTTTCCTTGTGACACCTGTTCCTAGAATTTCATCCTCTCCAAGAGAAGGTAAAGACTATCACAGCAGTATGTTCTGAGGCTGTGCTTAGTAATACAGTGTGACACAAAGGCAGTGATGAAATGGTGTCCCACTGATTGTCTTCCTTAAGCTGCAGCATGAATCAATCCTGAAAGGCATTGACTGTCTTCAGTTGTTATTTGCAAAAGACTGCTTAAATGCTTTCCCTCTGCCTCAGAGTCAGTCTTGTCTTCCACTGCTCTTACAGATAACTGGAACTCCTTTCCAAGATGGGCCATGTGTTGTTGGAAGAAACATATTCTAAACTCAACATACACATTTCCTTTTCAGTCATTGATGTAAAATTTTTGACTTAAAGGAACACATACTTCCTTTCTTCTTTTTTTAAAAAACTGGAGAAAATGGTACCCAGGTAAATGTATCATATCTTCAGATAGCTTTTGAATTCTTCTCTTAAAAAAAATAATTTATTTAATCTTAAATTTGTTATATATGAAAGCAGAATGCATTTCATTTCATATTACACATTTAGAGTTGTTCTGTATCTTCTTGTCCCAAGAAGACACCAGGAGCCATGAAAGACAGCATCCACTTTAGGAAACCTTGAGGCCTGTGTGTCTGTTATCAGATGTATCCTAAAATATCTGCTTTCTAAAAAAATATTGACCTTTAAATCTTCTATGATGGTTTTTAACTTGGCTTTTTTTCCTCCCGGTCATTAGGCTCTTTCCTGTCTTATGGTCTCCACTGTCCAAAGCACTGATGCTTTTTCTTAATTTCTTCTCCGTGCTATTGCCTCCCAGCTGCCCTTGGGGTCTATCCAAAAACTACAATGGACAGGTCTCATCAGCTATAAAAAATAATAACAAAAAGTACAACAGGAGCTTCCCTGATAGTTCAATCTCAATTTCCATGAGTACCATTTTCTGCTGCTTCTCAAAATTGCTTTCTCTGGCCCTGCTTTGATATAATCATTAGTATCCAACTGGAGGGGAATCCATCCTTCCTGACCTCCCAGTTTGATTTAGAGGTTCAGTGGTTATATCTATCGTTCAAGCAGCACAGATAAATAAACGGAAAGTTCAGTTGGAAGTATAGAGGTGGCTTATAAAATCTCAACTTTAGAATTCAGAGGGGTCCATTCCTGTAATCCTAGCAGCTAGGGAGGCTGAGGCAGGAGGATCTTGAGTTCAAAGCCAGCCTCAGCAAAAGTGAGGTACTAAGTAACTCAGTGAGACCTCATGTCTAAATAAAATACAAATAGGGTTGGGGATGTGGGTCAGTGATCGAGTGCCCCTGAGTTCAATCTCTAGTACCCCACCCCCCCAAAAAAAAATTCAGAGGGACTATAGAGATCAACTAAGTCTAATTCCCTACTTTGTAGCATTCACAACTGGTTACTGACAGGTGGAACTAGAAGACTTATACAAGTTTTTTTGTTTGTTTGTTTGTTTTTGTTTTTTTTTGGTGCTGGGGATTGAACCCAGGGCCTTATGCATGCTAGGCAAGCACTATCAACTGAGCTATATCCCCAGCCGTATAAGTGTCTCTAGATGAAGAAAATTCCATTTCTCAACAGGTACCACTTGCAGATGAGAATAATGGTCAAAAAAAATGAGGACATGATTAGGTTAAGTGGAAGCATAGACCATTGTTTCCTGAGGGTGGCTCCATAAATGGCTATTCTTCTTGAAGTTGTTGAGGCCTCTTGGGCACACCAGAGAAGTGTGTATAACGAAAATCAAGGCAGTGGAGGATGGGAAGTCTTTTTAGTTACTGTGGCCAAATGCCATGTGCATTGGAGTGTGAGGAAAACCACTTTATGGTCAATACATAAACGTTCTGGGACAGTGGAGAGGGTCTGGTCATGCAAGCTGGCAGACTGCTCAGTTGCTCACAACTAGAGCTAGTAAGTGGACTGCATGGTCATCTCTACTACAGATGAGAGAAAAAATAGGTTTAGGTTTCTGGCTTCATCCCATGATGGAAACATGTGGGAAACAAATTCATCCAGTGTCTTGAAGACAATATTTAACCCATATAATGATTCTACGGGGCAGAAGGAAATACACTCATGTTGTCACGTCACATTATGTTCAAGGGTATTCAGCTTAGAATTTGAACTACAGGTAACCCACACATCTGTCTTATTTTTTTTTTTTGGGGGGGGACTAGGGATTAAACTTTGGGGACACTTAAAAACTGAGCTACATCCCCAGCCTTTAAAAAATTTTCTTCAAAAATATTTTTGTTGTAGATGGACACAATACCTTTGTTTATTTTTTTATGTAGTGCTGGGGATCAAACCTAGTGCCTTGCACATGCAAGTGCTCTACCACTGAGCCACAACCCCAGCTCACATTTTTCGTAGATGATATTGTGAACCACCTGACTCTACTGAATGCTGTTTCCTCCATTCATATTTAGACATCAAATGGATTATAGAGATCAACTTGGTTACGTTATTGGGTAACAACATGCCGTTAACCTTGAACTCCTTATCATCAGAATAGTAAATCTGTGATATGATCACTCTGCTTACAGACCTTCAGCCCTGCACAAACTTATTTCACCAAGCTTTTAAATAGCTTTTTTGGAAACCCAAGATTACCCTGTAGCACTTCTACTAGGCTTTCTCATCTATTATTCCTCCAATTTAGATGGACATATTCACATTTTATCTCTGGTTCTTAAAACATTCCTGTGTGAAGACAGGTGCCCCACCCACCTGTAGTCCCAGTTACTGCGCGAAGGCTATGTGGGAGAATCACTTGAGCCCATGAGTGACCAGCTCAGGCAACACAGTGAGACCCCACACCTTAAAATAATTTTCACCTTTTAGATGAAAGAGACCAAGGCTACATTGCTTTTCCATGATTAAATTGATGGAGGAACTAGGCACTAGTGACCAGATAGCTTTCTTCCCTACATGAACTTGATGCAATGTAAACTGAGCTCTTATAAGGTAGGAAATATTCTCTGGATCTAGTTAAGTCTTACTTTGATGGGTAAAGGATAATTGAGAAGTTTCCTTTAACCAGGGTATTAGAAGGCTAACAAAAAAAGCTAAAACTTCAAGGGGCACCTCTAAAGTAGGCCATATCCTGCCCAACTTGCCTCCTTCCTCACTCCTCCTGGTACTTTGCTAGGTCTCTTAGGAGGCTCATCAGTCAATCTTGGCTGTAGAGCAATGTGCAGTTCCAGCCCATGCCCATGCCCAACACCTCAACAAATCTATTCAATGCAGAATCCACAAAACAGCTCACACCCCATTTATTATTTAAAAATATTTTGTTACAAAAGGAAAAAAAATACAATGCAGTATAAAAGATTGACAGCGTCATCAAGTTTATTACACAATTTTCAACCTATCAGAAAGACAAACAAATCACCGACAACGGGGGGATGGGGGGGCCTTGGCCTTTTTGAGGGCTGGTTTTTTTTTTTGATTTTTTTTTCCTTTTTGCTATCAGGAAATAAAACTAAAATTGTCATTGAGTAAAAACAAAACGAAAATGGGGAGAAAATAATTCTCCGGGTAAACGGCTTTTCAGATATTCTATATACTGTTTTTCCTTAAACTGTCACCTTACTTGGTTTTCTCTACATTTTAAAAAGACACCCGGAGCTGCTCTCGAGGATAAGCACATCACTTAACACTTGGCCAGTTGGGCAGGGTGCCATGTTCTGAAGTGGTAGGGACAGGGTTGGGGGACAGGGGGGAAAAGCTACAACCTGTAGCCTCTGTCCCAAGGGAATGTGCCTCTCCAACCCTGGGGGATTCCCCCAGTGACTGAGGGGTGTATCAGAAACGTGCTGGGAACAGAGGAAGGGTTCAGTCCAATTCAGTCTCTCCCCTTCTAAGCCAGAAGGGTCTCCAGTGACCCTATGCCTCACATGCCGTTTCATCTTACATGCCACGTCTCTTCTCACATTAGATGTCATATGCCCCGTAGATATATGCAGAAGTAGCATCACCCCATGGGTACTGCAGGACCCTATTGCTGCCGCCTTCCTCAACAGCAACCACATCACAATTTGGATGTTATGGGAAAAGCAATTCCATTTGCCCTTGTAGAAAATGGCCCCCAGAGTGCTGGTCCTTAGAACTCTGAGCTGAGTTCATTCAAGTCAGGCTTCATTTCTTCCTTGCTCCTTATCGGAGGAAGTACCTCCAGGCAGAGTGAGTGGAGCTGTTACATCAATGTCAACAGATGGAAAGACACCAAATTTGTGACTTTACCTGCCTACGAGTGCTGGGTTATCCCACAATAAGTAAAAGTATGTACCTGGGGGATGCAAGCCCATGCTTACATCAAACCTGAAGAAAGAAAAGCCTATGGAAGTAGGCCATATCCTGCCCAACTTGCCTCCTTCCTCATTCCTCCTGGTACTTTGCTAAGGTTCTTCATTGCTGAGGTCCCGATATCCCCATCTCCCAATGGCAGTAGCTTCCTCTAAAACAAGGAAGCAGCCTTCTTGGGGGAAGGGCTCCATGTGTTAAATGGAAAAGCCCCAGGGAAAGGGAACGCTTCAGAGAGCTGGTTATTGCGAGAGCAACCAAGCACTAAGCAGCAGAGGGTGGCAATTGGCTCTGCCAGGCAACCTAGCAGAAAGCAACCTCAGGGCCTTCTCAGCTTAGGAGAAGGCTGGGCAGCAGGGAGTCGAAATCTCAAGTTCAGCCCTCTGGGAGGTCAGGGAAATAAACCGTCAATATGTGAGAGGGGAAAACCAAGAACAGAAGTAGCTTTTCACAAGGTATTTTCTGTTCTCCTGGTCCCTCCTCAAAGGGCTGAGAAGGTAAAGGAGTTAAACAAAGAAGTGGTATGTTAGTAAGGGGTTTGGACCCTCTTGACCCCATCAAATCTAGTGCTGAGGGCAGGACCCTGGGTATATTTTGACATACCCAGTTACTCTCCAAGATCCCGCACGGAGAATCTATTTTCTTTGGGAAGGAAGTCTTCCCATCAACCTCACCACTGCACTGCTCCTGGAGAATCAGATATGGTTCCATGGACAAAGCACCATTCTCTATGGAGACCAGGGCCTGAACATGTTGCTTTCTTCTTGTCTGCCACCCCTCCCAACCACACAAAGTCTTTAGGTTCTTTCCCCCAGCACACAGGAGTGTGGGATTGGGAGGGCTGCCAAGCCATCTTCAAACCTGTAGGGCAGAGGGTATTCCCTGGGTGTCAGGAGGGAGTTAAGGGTTTGGAGGAAGGGGAAGAGGTGGAGCGGCCTCCGTCCTTTAGTCCTGATCAAGGTGAGGAGATGCAAGTCCATTAAAAAAAACATTTGCTTCCAACCAGACTCCTGTAAGAGAATATCAGAAGAGGAGAAATAAAACACAGAGGTTACTTTCTTATCAGTAGGGGTTTGTATGAAATATGCTAGCATTTTCTTAACTTACAATGTAAGAGTTAGGAGATATAGACAGAGAATGCAAGCCCGGGTAGAAGCAAGGAAGCAGATCACCTGACACTGAGAAGCAGTGAGGGAATGGATGCAGTTGAGAAAGAGAAAAAAAGCAATAACATCTTACTTTAAGGTAGGGAGAAAACACAACACAAAGCAGTCTGAAAAGGAGATTTTGACTAGCAAAGTATAGAAACTGTTACAATTCAAGAAAAGTTGCTGTAAGGGAAAATATGGTAAGTTTAAATACTGCTTCAGAAAATCTATTCTAAGTCACAGCTTATCTTGAGGGGAAGGAAAAAAATGAAGAAATGGGAGGTACGGTGGTTAAGAAAAAAAATGTGTGTATAAAACCAAATCCATCAACCCACAAAATGTTCCAGCAGGGAGCATGAACTTCTAGTTAACTCCTAAGTTTTATTTTTGTTTAAAGAAACACTGGGTAAAATAGGTTCCAAGCAATGTCCTTATAAGTAGTGCATGCTCGTGCACACACATAGGACCAGGGCTTTTTTCTTTTGGTACTGAGGATTGAACCCAGGGGTGCTTAACTACTGAGACACATCCCCAACCCTTTTGTACTTTATTTAGAGACAGGGTCTCACTGAGTTACTTAGGGCCTTGCTATGTTGCTGAGGCTGGCTTTGAACTTACAATTGTCCTGCTTTAGCCTCAGAGCCACAGGGATTACAGGCATGCGTCACTGTGCCCAGCCCCCAGAGCTTCCTAATAAGCTGTACTAAAACTCAAGAAGATTTAAGTTTTTCCACAGATGACAGCTGTGAGTGAGACCAAGAAATATACGAACATGAAGCAGGAACAACTTAAAAAAAGCAAAGCATGGAAGGAAAAGAAAATAATCAGTAGCAATTACCATCAAAGAAACCTAAAAGCCTTTGCCCAAAGGTCTGTTAATCTACTTGTCACATCACCGCCAACTTAAGGTCCCCAGTACACTCAGCCCTAGTTCCAGTATTGTATTATCTATCTGCAGATGATAGTGTGGTCAGCCTGATGATATAAAACAGCTTAATAGTCAAAAGGAAAAAGGAGAACTAAATTCAGACTTAAAATTATAGAATTTTTGCTGAGTTTAGTGGTACACACCAGTGACCCAGGAGAGTAGGGCAAGAGAATTGCAACTTCAAGGCCAGCCTCTGTAACTTAGCAAAAACATATCTCAAATTAAAAAAATAAAAAGAAATACAGACTTTATTTTTGGTTGTTGTTTTAGTATTTGGGATTGAATCCAGGGCCTTATACATGCTAGACAGAGTTTAGAATTTCCACCAAGCCCCAACTAGCAACACAGCCTACACACAAATGCTCACCTTTTATATATGCATTTTTTTTTGTACAGAGGCCTCATAACACCTGGAGGAGCTAGCCTAGGAAAAAACGCATCCATGTGGCACTTGACCCTTCTAACCCTATAATGGCACTATTTTCAGCTTGGATCTCCAATCTATATGACCTCTGTCTTGCTGCCTTCTGTAACATCTATGTAGGCAGGTATCTGTCCCATTTCCTTTTATTTTTTGTTTCACCACCCCCAGCCCCACTCCCACCCAGCCCAGCACTGCAGGTCAAACCTGGAGGCTCCTGTTTGCTAGCCTGTCCCATTTTATATAAGTGAAAACTGAAACTCTTGGTGAATTCTCCATGTCACACCATTCAGGTTTCTCAATCTTTGAACTAGATCAAAACTGAACAGAGCTCAGTTTTTCAATGGATGAGGAGGATAGGAGGAATATGGTGAGAATGATTATATTTAAAATAAAATAATATTCTAAAATAACAAGACAACCGACATAGTTGAAAACTACAGAAAACTGAAGCCAGAGAACATTCTCAAACTTCAGAACATGCACATATCCCAGGAAGAGATACGATTTGTAAACTGTTCTTACAAATCAAAATGCAGAGAATCACTAGTGTCTCAAGAACATCCAGTTCTGAAAAGTCTATGGCTACATTCTATGGTAATGTTTGAATGCAAGCAGAAATCAAACACTGCTTCAGTGGGCCAATCAGTTTTTAGGTCTAGAGCTTTGTCCTCTATCAAGGAAGGAAGAACAGAGAAGTTTGGTGCTCTATTGCCCCTGGACAGAACATACCCTTCCTGCTCAAGGACCTGTTAACAGAACAGAAATATAATTCTGTTCTTTTAACTGCTTGCACACACAGCCTGAAAAATTAAGTTTGCTAAGGTAAGTAAGATGGCCTATGTACCATCTCTGCAGTATGAAACCTCTTAAGACACAACTTGGTAAACGCAGGTTGGATTGAATCCTTAGAAAGAGAACATAAGAAATTGATATTTTGGGGTATCTTATTAATTTATTTTGGACTAAACAAAATAGAATAAAAACATATCTAAAAGATGACAAGGAAAAGCAGGGCAGTGAAAAATCTGGCTTAAAGTTAATATTCCTTATCTGGTCATAGACAAGCATCAAATGACTTTTTCTGAAAATACTATTTTAAGACTTTCAGAATTATTCAAATTGAATCATTCTCATAATGGGAGGTATTGTCCAATTTTGTAGGTGGAAAAAAATGAGGTAAAGTGACAGCTAAAGACTTAAACTGAGATGCTCGATCCCCAAAGCACTGATGGCTCAGAGGATCTCGCCTGACAATTTCCATATTCATAGCCTGCCAGGAACAAAGCCACCATGAATGGTGACATGCAGTTATATATTCTAACTAGTAAACTGAATGTGGCCCCAGAGATATAATTCATGCTTTGCACAGACCAATCAACCCCTATTTGTTAGCTCTAGGACACACACTGTGGCCTGCATGATGGGGGGTAGGGGGTGGTGGTTTTTTATCTCAAGTAACACTACAATTGTGCCAGCTCAAATGAGAAGAGGAAATAGTACTAGTACTGAAGGGTGGTACTAAACCAAGACTATTCTAATGCCTACCCTTTTGCTCACTCCCTGAGACTAAAACAGGCCCCATCTCTATATATTAAGTTGCTTTGCCAGAGGATATGTGAGCACTCCCAAAACTTAACCTGTTGCAAAATCTAGAAGCCCCACAACCTAACTGTTGGTGCCATGTGGGCTATCCTAGACTTTGTGTTGTCAAGTATTCTAGTACTTGTGGGACACAGTGGTTGAAGAATGGAGAAGGGAGGCAAACAAAAAAATCAGTAACTTCTCATCTTCTCACTTACTTGCCTCCTATGGCAGATGAAAAGAACAACTAGCTATAAGTCTATTTATAGTTTATGGCACATAAAGCCAAACAGAGCAAAAGGCAAGAGCCAAAATAAGAGTAACCGTTTCTTGTTTGTTAATAGGCTGTAACTAGACAAGATACTGATTTTTCAAATGTTTCAGTCCAGCTACTGCTCATGAACTGCAGGGACATACAAGTGGTAAGGATTTTTTTTCCCTTCTTGATCCAGTTATCCATTTATTTACCCCAAAGATGTCAAACAGAACTACTATTTTTTTCTTACCCCCCTTTAATTCCCATTATTACCCCAGAACAATTAAACAGGCAAAAGACCAAGGACATCTTTATAATATACTTCATATAAGACAAGGTAAGTAGCACCAGAGACTCACTAGTCTGCAACTGCAAAGTTGAGAACAGCTCCCAAGGTCATCAGGATCATGCAGTAGTAGCTCCCAGGAACCACACAGAGACTCCTAGCCAAAGCCTGGACTACTTTAGAGATCTCCACAGAAACAAAATCAACAACTGCTCTTGTTTCCTTGCTACAAGCTTTCTTTCAGTTAGACTGCTAACTGGCAGGCTGTAACCCAGAACTCAGGCCCTTCCCCCAAGACAGAACCTTTCTGAGAATGAAAACATGGAGAGAAGTAGAGCTGAGAGGCAGGAAGGCTAAGTCCTGCTGATGCAGCCAGAAACCCTGAATCCAGGCAATTCTAACTGAACTTTTCAATTACCTGAGTTAATCGTTTCCTCTCAACCTGACTGCTTTTGCTTAACTTAAAAAAAAAAAAAAAAAAAATGGAAACAGTACTGAAAACAAAAATATCCTTCTACATAGTCTCTCTAAAGTTTCAAAAGATTTTTTCCCAGATCAGCTTTCTCTTCTGTAAAATCCCAATATTCACAATCTTTTTAATAGATACTGATTATTAAAATCATTAGTGTTGTTCCTTAAAAACTAAATAAATTAATAGTCTTGTTTTTTGTCTTCATCAGTTTTCCTATTTTTTTTTTCTTGAAGGTTTGGTGGGTTTAAAACATGATAATGACAACAACAATGGTTACCGTCTATTGATAACTTACTATGTGACAGGCACTAAGAGTGCTACATGGATTATCTCACTGAACTGTCAGCAAGCTAGTAAGATAGTTGTTTTTATTATCTTCAGTTACACATGAGGAAACTGAGGAACACAGTATCAAGGTTCATTAACGGAGGAGCTGGGATTCAACTTCTGGCATTTGACACCATGCTCTCAACCATTACGCCATGCTGTTGCTCAGATGCCAGGCTAAGGTAGTCCAGAAACCAATTAAAACAGCTTAATCTCAGGGTTAGACTCCCCCCACACAAGCAGGAAATCTGCCCCAAACATTTAGTAACTGAAGTCAAAAGTCCTTTCCACCCCGGCTGCCTTTACTTGCTTGGTGGAAAAGAAAGGAGAGGAGAAATAACAGGGAGGGGGAGGAAGACAGAGAGAGAGGAATGTTCACTATGAATAATCTTTCTTTTATAAAAGACCATCCACCAGTCAGGAAAGGAGATTCTTCCCACCTTTCTCAGTGGTGCCGGTCCCGCTCTCTATCCCGGTGTCTCTCGTGCTCCCGGTTCCTTTCTTGGAAATAATCATCATGTCGATCTTCATTATGAAGCAGATCCCGGTGCCTCCTGCTGCTCTCCCGGGACCGGCTGGGTGACCGCTCCCTGGACCGATGTCTTTTCCTATCAGAAAAGATCCTTCAGCCTCATTCAGAGAGCCTACCACATTCTTTCAAAGAGTGTGGTGTTTGTGTCTCCTAGTATTTGCTTAAACTACTCTTTCACTCCTCTACCATGGGCCTACTGTCTAAGGATCTTAGCTCTTTGAAGACTAAACTTTTTTGGGAGAATGATGACAGTTAAATTTGTTAAGATCTTTACTAATGTATCTAGCAGTGGTAAGTGTTTTTACGTGCCTTATCTGACCTCATCTTTACAACAGGTCTATAAAACTACTGCTACTATTGTTCATTTTTTAGGCGTAGATAGCACCACATAAAAAAATAAAGATATTGTGCCTAAGACTTGAACCTAGTGCTTCACACATGCTAGGCAAGTGCTCCATCACTGAGCTACAACCCCAGCCCCTATTGTTCCTTTTTTTAAAAGAAAATGACACTTGGAAGTTGTTAACTAGTCAGCAACAGAATTGAGATTCAAATAGAAGTGTGTATGATTCAAAAGCCCATGCTCTTAATATCAGTCTTTCTCCTAACTGAGCCCACGGCCTCACCAGCACAGATTCCAGTTACAACACTAATTAACGAAAGTGTGATTAACTCCTCTTAAAAGACATGAAGTCTAGGTCCACTCTTTCAGTCACGTGTCAGGTCCTTTTCAGATACCCTGGGCTCCCCACCTGTCCTTCCCAAGCCATGGAAGAGTGCTGCTCATGGCTAGGAGGCTGCTGGCACAATTATTGACTCACCTGGAAGAGCTCCCGCTGGCACCCACACTGTAGGACTTGGCCTCAATGCCATGAAGACAGTCCTTAAGAGAGGAGATGAGGACACGGCAACGCTCATCATTGGCGACCCGGGACTGTTTGATAACCGCAATGGCTGTGAGCAGGGTCTCAATTGCATCACTGTAATCCCCTGACAGGAGATGGATGGGAAAGGACAAGGGTGAGCAGAGGCAGTAAACTAAGTGGACCAAAAGGAGAATTCAGGAGGACACAAACCAAAAGGAATTAGCTGCTCCAAAGAACCATGTTAAAATGGAGGAGCAGGCATGGCAAGTACAGAACTGGAGAGACAAATATTCCACTGAGCTGAATCTGACAGATGTTGCCAGATGTCAGGGATATTTGACAATATCTATTAAAAAGGTGCTTCCAGCAATTCTACTTAAAATTTTCTACTTCTGCTCACAAAAGTATGTGTGCCTAACAATGTTTCAGTGTGGTTATGTTACCTTTGATAGGATCTGGCTATATACATTAAGGAATAATGATTACAGACATAATTACATAGTTGTTAAAAGCACACAGTAAATCTGTTATGTAAACAAAGTAATCCATGTAAAGTGCTTAGTATAGTGTACCATGTGCACACTGACAGTAGCAAGACCTCAATAAATATCAGAGTTTATATATTAATAGGCTTCCAGGATATAGTAAAAAATGCAGAGGAAAACCGTTGGTCTTGTGCTGTTCCTTCTATAGAGGACTTTTGTTTTTTTAACATTGCACATTTCTACGGATTTTTAAAAAAAAATTTTTTTTAAGTTGTAGGTAGACATGATATCTCTATTTATTTATTTTTTATGTGGTGCTGAGGATCAAACCCAGTGCCCCAAACATATGAGGCTGGCGCTCTTAAACTGAGCCACAGCCCCAGTCCTCTCTGAAATACTTTTAATCTATAATTGGACTATGTGTGTATATGTATAATACATGTATCTCTCTGAAACATGTAAATAAAATATATAGTCTGGGGGATATATTCTGAGCAACACGCTATTAGGCAATTTTTTCTCACTGTATACAAACCAAGTCAGTTATGTTGTTACTGGGGGTTAAAATTTTACAGGACCGTCATCATATATGTGGTCTGTTGTAAACCAAGACATTATTGTAACTGTACTTACACATTTTTTTAAAAATTATGATGTCGTCAATAACCAGCCCTTTCATTTACCAAGTCTAAGCAATGCCTGGCTCAGGGATAATCATGGTGGAGTACTTGTGCACTACTTTTACAAGCTAAATTAAAAGCATTAAGGACGGAAAATACAAGGGTAGGTGGAATCCACACAGGGCAGTGTAAATGAGGAGTCGTAGCTTAGTTGGGAGATGTAATAAGAACAGAAAAGAGTTTCTGAAGAACTGTTATCCTGCAGAGGCTCAGGAGCCCCAGGACATCAGTTTCACTTAGGCAGGAAACACCTGTTTGTTTTACAGGCACATTCAGTGAGTATTTGTGACGTGAAAGACTGGAATAAGAACAAAAAGGGATGGAGATAAAGGATAAAGATACAGTTACAAGTTATTGGTTATCTCAGGGTGAAGGCATTGGCAGTGAAGAAGAAACAATGATTATGTTTTCTAAATTCCTCTGTACATTTGACTTGTTACAATGAACATATATTACTTTTCAATTTTAAAAGATTCACTGAAGTGGGCACATTTATAATACTAGCTACTCAGGAGGCTGGGGCAGGGATTGCAAATTTGAGATCAGCCTCGGCAACCTCAAATTTGTCTCACAAAAGAAAAAGGGCTAGGGATGTAGCTCAGTGGTAGAGCACTTGCCTAGCACATGTGACATTTTGGGTTCAGAGTTTCCAGCACCAGACACACCTACACACAAGATTTACTCAGATGCGAATATAGGTTTTTCTGGTGGGAAAAAAAAATGGAAGAGAACTCATACACCTTGTTTTTAACCTCCTCTGTGGATTCAAGTTTTGCAGCCAAAAATGAGATATTATAGAAAACAGATGTTAATACTTAGAGTTATTTCTTAGGACACTGTTCAGGTGGTAAACTCATGGGAAGTGAACACAATTCATGTCACAATGTGAAACTAAGACCACATTACTGAAGCTTTCAATAGCCTTTTCTTTTAGGAACCAAAGATTTCACACTCAGGGCTTTTAGAATTATAATTTGCTACTTCTGTCCATTTAATACAGGGAAACTGAGCTGAAAGGGCACAATATGCCTTAAGATGACATCCAATATACTTGCCTTCCAGTACAGGCTAACCATCACCTAGTTAAGGCAACATTCTATATCTGGCATTGGATCCAGTTTAGGTCTAAAGATCAACCACTGAGATGAAGACCTCCATATGTTAGGAGTTTCATTTTAAAATAAATACAACAATGTGTTAGTATCTATTAGTTGCTCATTTTGTAGGCACTAAGTTGGTTTTCATAGAGGCAGGTGTAGCCACAGGTTAAATAATACCACTGGAGTTTTCTCAAAGCCAAGAAATCCAGTTAGCTATTGCTCTTTGAAGTGTGCCACACATGATATCTAAGAGTGTACCAACTTTAACTTGTGGAACTTTTGCTGATGGAAAAACCGAAAGTAGGGAAAAGGCAGCACAGCTAAGAGTTAGTTACCTGCACTGGCTCCAGACACTGCTTTGGAAATGGCACTGCTGGAAATTGCTCTGTTTCGCTTCATGATCTCTTCAAACTCAGCTTCACTCACTGTAGAGGGCGGAGGGCCCGAATCTCGGCTGAAGGGAGATAATATCACCAATTGTCCACATCCCTTATTACTTTTACCATTTTCTATAGTACTGTATTATTTAACTATGCTCTACTGTCTTAAATTGTTCTCAGCCTGTTCAGGTATTTTATGTGTTCCTCTTCTTTTCAAGGACAGGAATTATGTCATATACTTTTGTAGTTTTGTCAGTACTCAACATTGCTAGACACTGTAGTTTTTGTTGTAGCCATTTACGGCACTCAACCTCCTTAAAAGAGGATATAAAGGATAGGGTTTGGGCCAAGTGGTTAAGATACAAACAAAAGCACTAAAGAAAAAACACTGATAGATAGTAAGTTATATTCCAAGACTCAACACTATGGCAAGTTTCCATAAGGGAAAGCATGAATATTTAGTGTTCATTTCTTCATGAAGAACAAAATGCTGAGCACTGCTGACCTAACTATTACTGGCTTAGATCTGAAGGGAACAGATGCTCCTCACCTGCCATGGTGGTTATAGGGTGTTGAGGCCTTCATGTAAGTATCTGGTGGAGGCCCCACTGTAGCATTTGGTGGGGGGAAGAAGGCTGGATTGAGGTGAAGGGCAGGTG